TGCTGGCCATTTATACGGGACAAAATAAGTCGCGACTTACATAAGACGCGACTTAAATAAGCGGAGTTATCGCATAAATGGTTCTCTACGGCTTTGGTCTTATTTATTTGCTATAGCTATAATGTTGTTTTGTTTGTTTTTGTTTTAATATGCAAGGCTAATAATTTTACGTTGTTTCAAGTTTCTGGCATGTGTAGTTAGACTTTTTGTCCAAAATTTCTTATTTAAGACGCGACTTAGATAAGAACAGCTAAAAGGCCTGTTCTTATGTAAGACGCGTCTTATCCAAGACGCGTCTTACATAAGAATTTTGTACCTTTTATACGACAAACTCGCGTCTTATTTAAGTGGCGTCTTATGTAAGTCGCGTCTTATTTTGATCCGTATAAATGGCCCTATTGTGTGTTTGCTTAAAAACGTGGAAAAAGAAGCTTTCGAGCGGAGCAGCGAAAATTTTACATGGACCGACGGTAAAGAAAAACAACGACAAGTTTTACGTTAACATTTTTGTACTTTTTTACATTTTCCTCGTGTCTTGCATGAAGTGAATGAAGGAACAATTATTGAACTTGGTTATCGTATAAAAATATCGTGAGTTGTCAGTGCTTCGCAACTGACAAATGGCGATATTTTCCTCCACTACAGGAGCCATACATAATCTCCTTACAGTTAAAACAAAGCAGTCAGCTTTAATAGTGTATAGATCAATGTTGTAGAAACACGCGAGGCGAGTAACGTACCTACAGTTATATCAAAGACAAGTGGACAATGGCATAGGCGTACGGGAGCGGAAAAATTAGGGGGCAGAACGAAATTTGACAGACTTTTGCATTTTATTGCCCGACTAATTGAATTCCCTGTTAATTTAACTTCGGAAACTTTCGCAGAACTAAAAAATTGCGACATTGCCCTATTATCTTGAATGTTTTACTATTATCTTTCTTGTTTTCAGCTTATTTTTCCCACTTTTTCCCAATTCACGTTCAACATTTCCCAACTATCCACAATTTGAATTTTACACGAGCAATCAATGATAAAAAACATTGTATTTTATGTATTCAAGCGAGCAGTCATACGGCGCCTCTGCGTGTGGTCAATTTTGAGAGCACTTTCCGAACATTAATTTTCAATTCAAGCCTGTAAAAACTGTGAATAACCTTTATTTCTTTTTTTTCTTTGTTATGAAAGCATAAATAAGAGCTCATTGTAAAATAGGAGCTCAGAAAATGTACATTTTGTACAAGTTGTTTATTTTCAAGTTGACATTTTGTTTTTAATGCACGCATGATCCACGCGGGCCCGTATCAGTGCCGGTTAATCTTTAATCGGCACAGCTGTGCGATTAATGTTTAATCGGCACGGTTTTTAACCAATCAGAATCGAGTAAATTGACTAAAATGATATTAGATTTTTAATAAATTATTTTCAATTTTAACCATTAAAAAATCGCTTCGCGCGAACAATTTGCTAGTGGAAAACCGTCTGGCTTGACGTAGGGATATTGCATGATAAAGCAGATTAAACAGGACAGAGTTGAGTTCCCATTGGCTCAACCCAAGGCCAATAATTGACTCGTTTCTGTATATCATACTCGTTCCTTAACTGTAGATTCCTCTCAAGATTCAAGCCCTAGCTTAAACCATAGAAAATCAAAGGAATGTCTATATTTAAACTAACTTCAGTTTCGAAAAAGGAATGACTTTACACACGAGCATTATGTGTTATAGAATTTCCTTTCCCGAAAGAAAATTTCCCAATACACAACTCCAACAAGTTGATATTCTCGCGAGAATTTTATTTCGCTAACACTATAAATAAAATTGGCTCGATTAGCTTGCACTTTTCTGCCAATCATGTTCCAGGAATCATAGCTGAGAAATCAGGTATTTTCAGCAAAAAGAAATAGTTTTAATCTGCACTCCTTGCAGTAATTTTGGGCAAAAGTAAGTTGCTCAGGACTCGGCGCCCGTCCGTTTGCGTAACTGCTCAGTCCACAGCGATTCCGTAGATTCTTTGACGAGTATCGCGTTCAGGCTAGTTTGCTTTAATACTCAACTTTATTATTATTATTATTATTACTCCGTCGAGGGAAGCTTCCGCTGCAACCTAGTACCAAGACTTCATACAATCCAACGTTCCATCAACAATTTATCATCTTACATGCGTACAATTGTTTATGGCATATTGACCAATTGTCGCAATTTATTCAGCCATGATCCAAGAGATGATAATCTCGAGACAAATCTTCCTTTAAGAATTATTCGTAGAAGTGGAGGTGAATAATGCAAGAATATTTATAGCCTGCTCGCAGCCCGAAATTTCGTTGAAAGAAAACCGGAACAAGCAGTATTTACATGTTTTAGTATTCTATTCATTAGCAATAGTTATTAATTTTAGAAATTTGCTACAAATACTGTTAAGCGAAGCTTTGTGGGCGGATCTGAGCGGAAAATGAAATTGCGCGCCAAGCACTACCCATCTGGCTCCTGTTCGGCATCGAAATTTTCTAATAAACAATGATAACAATGGAAGGATTGCATGTATTGTTTGACGCCCACACGCCCACGTTTCCGACCGTAAACGTTTAAGCGGCCCACTTTTCGAAATTTGTCAGTCACCTGATGTTTCTTCTTGGATGAAACAGGCTGTTGTGACAACCTTATGAGGTAAAACGACTATGTATACAATAATACATGCACCACATATCTTGTTAAAACCAAGCTCATGCGTTATATATGCGAATGTTAGTGAATAGCATTTTTGTCCAGTGTTGATTGCCACAACTCCAGAAACACTAATTTTATCATAGTTTGTTACGCCTCGTTCTATTATTGTAGCATATTTGAGGAACACTGACAGTTTACCGCCGAAAAATTCAATTTTATGAACTTTTAAACTTCATAGATCAAATTGTTTTTATTTAATACCATGGTTTCTTCTGAACGCATTTCCAATGTTTCGCTTATGTAGCAAATAGACTAACAGTGGCAATATGCTAAATCTGAGTATAACGCGGAAAAGACAATTATGCCTTAGCAAAAGCAGATGTGTTCCAGAAATAGCCACCTTCCCACCACCTCAAACAAAACCGCTGGCTCCACATCTGCCATCTACCCCTCAACAATCGCCAGCAGCACCAGGACAAAAATCAGCACCGCCACACCCAACATCACCGCCACAAGCACCACTTCCACAACAGCCATCAATCTCACAACACTTACCACAAGCACCAGTACAAGCATCAACCCTAAAACCATTAATAGCTTCCTTTGCCAAAACATCGTCAACATCTTTCCGCTTTGATTCGTCAAAAGAAGTGAAGACTCTCTTGCCCGATCGCCGTCTCACATCGTTGAGAGCTTTCAATACACCCTTTTGATTAGAAAATCTCCCAGGTTGAGACATCATAAATTTGGCAAACAAGTTCTCTGAATTGTTTTTTTTTTATTTATTATACAATCATCAATTTATCACTTATGAATGCACGTCCTCAAATTACTTTCACTTGTCAAATTTTCTTTCTTGATCGGTGTCGTGCCCAAACACAGCTTCAATGTGGACTGCTCTTGTGATATATTGACATTTATAGTTACATTGAAATAGATACTCGTAAATAGCAAGCCTGTTTGCAGGCTATTAGGCATGGACCTTCGGGCTTAATAATTAACTTGAAGACTAAGACTATTATTGTACATGTGTTCGGAGTAATACAATATATAAATTTACACTCTCATAACTAGATCTGTGAAAATTACTCCGTACGCTTTACCACTTGTTCTTTTCTGTACTTCTCCACACACCGAGTAAGGTTGGAAAAGGTCTATCGTAACGTGTTTGAAAGCTGGAGATGATTTCAATCTTGCTTCCGGTAGTTGTCCCATTTGCTGCTCGAAGAATTTTGCTTCTCGTAGCAAAGCTTCTTGAGCGAGTTTGCTTTCTTGGGTTACCCAATAGAGCTAACGGAATCGGGCTAAGGTTGCATCACGCCCTCTATTGTTGCATGAACAGTCTGGTAACATGATGTCGTTAGGGCAATAGCTTTTGCAGGGAAAAATCCACTGTCATGGGATTTGTGTTCTTCAAGCGCTGCCCAACTATCCAGAGTCCACTTTCATCTTGGACTGGATTTAAACAAGCGAAACCTTTTCTGTCTTTTTTGTCAGAACACTTTCAAATTATTTCTGAACTTCTTTAACAATAAAGTTCTCGGCTTCTTGTAATTGCTTAACAGAGATGGAGAGAGTCCTTCCGCCTTTAAAAATTCTCCGTTTAGCAATCTGGCGACGACCCAAATAGTTTTGTTGATATTGCTGAATCTTTCGTAGTCGATCAACAATGCCTCTACGCTCACTGCTTCTACAACATGGACTTTCTCTTCACCTGGAGGTGGTTCTTTCTTTGGGTTAAACCAGTGCCGTAGCCAGAACGATAATTGGGAGGGCACATATTCATATATTCGTGTTCTGCTTTATTAATTTCTTTTGAAATCAATTGTTTTTATGGTATGTGAACACGAATATATGAATATGTGCCCCCCCCCAATTATCATTCTGGCTACGGCACTGGGTTAAACTTTAATTTCTATTCTTCTATCGGTCGGTGCAGAATCGGCGGTCCATTCCACCAATGAGAATCGTTGTTCAGTTCCTCTGAAAAATCTCGAATTCAAAAATCTCAAGAATCTTTTTCATACTTTGACTTCTTTTGCTTTCGTTTTATACATTAAACTTATTATAATTGTTTCCCGATTTTATGTTTGGCATTAATTACATCGTCGAAGTTAATGCACTGTTGGAGTTCGTTGACTGTGCGTTCGATGAACAGGGATTTTATCTTGCATTTAATGTATTTATATTTTATATTGTAAGCTTGTAGTAACTATAATTCAAAAATAAATGCACCTTAATAACTACAGCAAGTGAAAAGTTGCATTCCCAATTTCCCTTGACTATACTGTTGTTACGTATGGTACAGAAGTGTTGCAGGAATGACTTTTTTGGTTCTTTATAAAGTTCATGCTTCTATAAGTACTATTTAAAAAACATCAAAGACATTTTTATGAATTAATTTCTGATATATTATTTACCTGTGAATGTTTTTTTTGTGTGTTGTGTACGTACTGTTCACAACACGGCATTCCTGGGGAAATAAGGAATTTACCATATTTTTTGTAGTTACATTTCTATCTGATTTGACCATTAAAATGGACCGTCGATCGACCCCTGGGTACAGACGTGTGCAACAAACTAAAAATATATGTATCAAGGTTGACATAATGCAGTGTTTCCATGGTCTCTGTCACGTGGAAGAAAATATTCCAAAAAGCAATATTCATAAAAGCATCAGATATACATTTAAAGAAGAAAGTTAATTTGGAAGTATCAACATGGAATGTCTACATGTTTATCTTGGAATGATACTATACTTCGCAAGTGTATATAAACGTTGCTCTCAAATTGAATGCAAAACTTCATCACGTCCAGCCACAGGCGGCCCAATCTCAGAATGAATGATCAGGTGTTGCGGGTTTTTAACGGTTTTTATAAACAAATTTATAGTCAACCAAAACTATTTTAAAAACATTCTTAAATTAGTCAAATAAATACATTTTAACA